TTTTCTGGATATATACCCAGAGTAGAATTGCTGGATCATATGGTAGTTCTACTTTTAATTTTGAGGACCCTCCATAGTGTTTTCCGCAGTGGTTGCACTAATTTACATTTTCACCAACAGTGTACAAGTAACTGAATCTGCTTGAGCCACAACTTACCATTCCGACTCTTCCCCTCTATTTACACCATGACACATTTACACGTTTTCTTTGACATCCTCAAAACTTCTAGACTCTTGCTCCTGGCTTTTTAAAATCATATATCAGAGCTCACTTGTCTTAATTTCCTTCCCCAAGTAGCTTAGACAACAGGTAAAGGCTATCCTGTGCACCCAATTCCAATGTATGGGGCAGGATTTCCTACACCAACAACAAGCAATTATCTGACACCAGCAAGGTGTCCTACAATTCAGCTTAATTCTGACATAATCTACCCAGAAAGAGCATCAGATCTCCCAGGTTAAGGGCTCAGTCCTACAAGACTGCCTCACTGTTTCAGGTGCCAGTTGCAAGCTCAGGTTGTTACCTGTGCTTCTGACTGACCTGCTACAGATTGGAAGTTCCCATGACCCCTTCCTTAGACTTCAGATCCTGGTCATTATGTTCAGGTTACCTGTACTTCTGAGCAACTGGATATAAATCGGAGGTTCTGAGGACCCCACTCCTTGGGTTTGATTAATTTGCTAGAGCAGCCACAGAACTCAGGAAACCAGTTTACGCACTAGATTAATGATTTAGTACAAGGATAGTAAAGGATGTGAACCAACAGCCAGATAAGGGGGTACATAGGACGCGGTCCCAAACAAAGGAACTTCTGTTCTCGCAGAGTTTGGGGCCCAGCATGGTGTCATGTGGAAGCATTCTGGTTCGCCAACCTGGAAGCTCTCCACACCCTCTTCCTTTTATGTTTTTATGGAGGCTTTGTTACACAGGCATGGTCGATTAAATCATCGACCATTGGTGACTGAGTCAACCTCCAGCCCCTCTCCCTCCGCAGAAACCAGGCGGTGGGACTGAAAGTTCCACTCTTCCATTCATGGTTGGTTCCCCTGGTGCTTTCTGAAAATCACATTATTAGCCTAAACTCAGTTGTGGTGGAAACGGCGTGTCATGAATCCCAATACACTCATTTCCCCTTTATGGCTCTGAAGCATTTTCAGAAACTGAGGACTAGAGACCAAACATTATAATAAAAAAAATGCTCCTATTGCTCTTTTCACTCAGGAAAGTCCAAGGGTTTGGGGGACTGTGAGGCAGGAACCATACATGAAGACCAAACACAAACAAGACATATACTTGGGTCACCTGAACGATCAAATCTATATTCCTTGTAAATTATAATATTGCACCACAGTCCAATATTTCCCTTCTTCTTGCCCCTTCTTTTCATTTGACTCAGGAAAACTCGAATCCTGAATCTAAACCACCGCTCTTCTCCTGTGAAACCTGGGCTTCCCAGTCATGCTGGGAAAAGTCAGAGTACGGATAAAATTTTGCCACTACAAAAGTATGGTCTCCAACCACAACCGCACTTTAAAAGTGACCCAGCCATCCACCTGAATCCCTAGACGCTTTGTCTCTTCTTTTCTACCACATCTCATTCAAAATTTTACTATTCTCAAGGTCCCGCCTGCCCTCCTGGCTCCCAGGCATCACCTGGCCCTCTGCAGGCACCATGCGCGATTCAAGTTGGCTATGACTTACCAGTAGAAGCCTTCTATTTCTTTCCATTTCCAAGGCATTTGGGATAACGTAGAAACATCTCAGAGCAGTGATTTTCAATGCGTGGTTCCCTCGACCACAAGCTTCAGCACCACCTCTTTAGAAATGCCATTCTCACGTTCCTCCCCAGATACACTAAACCAGGAGCTCTGGGAGCTGGCCAGGACTCCGGCCTTAACAAGCCCTCCAGGTGGTCCTGACGCAGCTAAATTGGCACGAGAGCCATTGCCTTAAAATAAGATGCAGCTTCTGCTTTCTTCTTTAGCCTCGTGTTTGGTCAACATAGCCAGCTCCTCCGTTTTATTGTGCCCTCTAACCATGTGGCACTGTGGTACTAATCATTCCCTAATCGGATCAAGCTTTTTCTTGGTTCAGAGCTTTGCAAAAGCTGCTACCTCAGCTTGGAAGTCCCTGTGCTCTCTATTTCTCATTATCCTTCATTTCTCAACATTATGACCTTTAGGGACTTCCCACGTCCTGGAGCTAATGTAAATGTGAAAACAGACTGGGGACACATCTCTCACATAATCAGCAAGGACCCCATGCACATGTAGGGTACCGGCTCTAGGTGTGCCGACCTCCCTGATAGGTGAGTTGAAGGATGGGTCTGTGTGGAGGAGCAGGTAGCCGTTACAACGATCTGTGTCTTTTCATTACTGTTCTGCAATAAAGGAAGGTAACTTACAACCCAGCCTGCATTGCCAATGTCATTCTGTTCAACTCTTGTTCAGTGGATGGGTTCTCAGCTTGGTTCAGAGAACTTCAGGTTGGGTTAGGGGGAGGGAGGGCAGGGAGGACTTTCTCCAGGAGACCTAGCTGCTCCGTGTTCCTCGTTTATGATTTCACAAAACAGCCTTCCCAAATGCCCTGGACCTCCCTGGGTAGACGGCACCCTTGTGTCATTCGAGTCAATTCCAGTGGAAAGAAGTATGAGTAAAGAAATTAATTTGAGATAAACTGCTCACCTCTTTGGGCTAATTTGCCCCTTTTACGAAGCCAAACAATCAGCCAGAGCTAAGAAAATTACTTCCAAGTGCACACTCCAGTTTGGTGTGACTCCACTTGTGTCCTGAGTGCATTTGACTCACCTGGCTGCACTGCGGAACGAGGCCCGTCCAGTAACAGTCAGTCAGCAGGTATTTTCGATCTGATTAATTTCCTTGTGGTTTCTACCCAGCTCTAAGCAAGGCCAAGTTTTGGTTTTCTCTTGAACATTTTTTGCTTCCCTGTAAATGGGAGACATGCCTGTGTTAGAACCTGATGGCATTCTTCAGTATTTTCTATGCCATTTTTAGTTAGGTGATGAGGTGACCTGAGACCTGGGATCCAAAAAGAACAAGCATTCATCATAGCCATTGTGACCCATTAATTGAGCTGAATGCACAATTTTCCAGTTGTTCCAATTCAGACTCTTACTGTAATCACATGAT